GACAGACAGACAGACACACACACGCAGAGACAGAGAAAGAGACAAAGAGAGAGAGAAAGAGGGAGAGAGAAGGCAACAAAGCCCTGCCAGGGTGGGGGTCCTGCAAGCTTCCTTTTCGTAAGGCCGAGCTCAGGCGTGCCATGTAGACCGGCTGCTGCTGCAGGATCCACGCCAGCTCCTCCAGATGGAGACAGCACGGACTGACATCCATTTCCAAAGCATTGTGCTGGACTCGTGGTATCGAAGGAGCGGTGCTAGTCACTCGACACCAAGGCAACCGAAAGCACGAGCCATGTATGGCACCTCGAATTTGCAAAGCTTTCCCTTTATCTCGGGGTCGGTTTTGACCTTGACAGGATTGGCAAGATCAAGAAAGACTTTGGGCTACTGCACAGGCTGGCTTTAAAGCCGAGTCCCGAGCCCAATACGCGTTCTCCATCTGAGGGCCCTCGCCGCTTCCGTCAAGGTTCATGGCCTGGGTATCAAATGAATGTGGCATCCTTTTTACGGCACGGCTACGACGCAGGTCGTCCTCTAAGTCTCCAAGATCTCACTCGCACTCTGCGCCAAGGGCCGCGACGTGCAGAGTTCTGATGTAATCCACCTGCAGATTCTCAAATTGGTCTGGGATGGGTCGGGTTTCGGCTTGGAGGCGACAGAACCTCAAGCTCCTTCCGAAGATGGCGTAGCCTGTCAGGGCCGCGGCCGTGTCGCTTCGCTCCCCAAGGCCCTTTTGGGCCCTGGGCCCTTCGCACTGAGCCCCAGGCTCGTACTCGCATGGGTCCGACCCTGGGGTCATGTGGCATGTGCGTCATGCGTCACGTGGAAAGGCGGAGATCATGAGCTTCCCGCTTGAGTCGGGTTTGTCCCACATTTTGTAGATGAAATCCAGGTGACCATCGCACATGCGCTTTACCTGCAATGCCAAAACCCCGCATCTCGAGCCCCAAGCAGTTGCTCTCACTGCACCATTGCCCCTCTATTGCTGCCTGACGTTCCGTGTTTTGTAAGGCCTTGAGCTTGCAGTCCTGAGAGCTTCAAAGTCAGCTGGACGGGCACATGCGTCGAGCTCGACTCATTTCAGGGTCCCAACTAGGGTCCCGGCTGCTTTCTCCTCGAAGAGCTTTCGCTGGCAGTCACTCCAGGTGTTGCCTCTGCAGGTGCTTCAACAGGACAGCTTTCGCTGGCACAGAAAGCTGCAAGCTGTTGCAGCTGCCGTGCCGAACATCACGGCAGAATCTATTATCAGTTGCTCTTGCTGATTCGCTGACACACTTTAGTTGCATCGCCGCATCGCTGACCCAAACTGGGAACCCGAAGTCCCGAAACAGAATCAAAGAAGTTCACCGTCTGGTCCGGAAAATACAGTACGGCTCCCGTTCGCAGGAAACTACGCGCGCTGTGGTTTCTGGGCATCCAGCTGGGCTCGTCCAGCTTCGCTGCATCCTCCGCCACAGTTTGGTTGCTCTCCCGCACCTTGGGCTTCCAGCGCTCCTCCTTAGTCGGTGTTGAAACTGCACACGAGAAAACCGAGACAAGGCTTCCAGAATGATTAACTCCCATGCCACCAGACCCCAACTCATCTGTATCAGATTGAGCGGTCTCGGGAGGAATGGCTAGACTGAGGTCGCCGCTACCTTCATGGGAGGATAGACGCCTGAGAAACTCACGAAGCATCAAGATGCGACAGGGAGGGGATTCTCTGCAACAACACCATGCATTCCTGCGTGAACTTCAATCAGCAGGCCATGAGAGGCCACGAATGGGGAAGGGAGGCTACAGCGAAAACACGAGCTCTCTCATTATCAAAACCCGTAAACGCCCGTCAAGCATGCTGAAACCATGTTGGAGATGGGCCACCCAATCAGACCTCGCCGCTGTGACGAAACTTGGGAGCGACTTCATGCGACGAGCAGACAGGTGGCCCTGCCTGTTTGCGTCGTCGTAGCTCTAGCACTAGCTACACTAGCTGATTCGAGGAAAAGCTCCATACCAAAAGTGTTCCAAGCCGGCTGGCAAGTGCCAGCTCACGCATACTGACGAAGGTTGATCCAGCGCTCGCGATCACTTGGGCACTTGGGTAGGTATTATGCTCAATACTGATGCTCTCTCCTGTGCCCGCTGCATGGCAGGCCGGTAGACGGCGGACAGTCCACAAGGCCTGTCTCTCCTTGCTAACCGCATGCGCCCGTCGACTGATTATAGCTGCACCATGTTCTGTCAGCGCAGCCTGACGCTGCAGGTCCGCACACCTGCAATAGCTCGACTCACTTTGGAGGAGCGGTGTAGCACAACTTCATTCAACACCGACGCACTCGTCTTCCAGCCACTTCCTCGGCTACAGTCTTACATTCCACGAGGGTGTGTGACATCCAGTTGGTGTCTAAAGCTGAAGACAGGCAGTCGTTCTCAAAACCACACTGAGGATACACAAACATTCACACCCGAAGACATGTTACTCGCTCGCAGCAGTGAGGGTAGGGCAGGTCCTAGCCACAGCAATGGCATCTACTTACATGACCAAACTTCGCACCTGAATTTGCCGGCTGAGGTTCAAGTAGCCCGCATTGCCACCAATGCTTGTCCACCGGACGGCCTGCCCCGCCTGTGCCTCAACCAGCGGCTTACACCTTGCGACCTTGGCTGTGCTGACGCTCCACATCGCAGCGCACGAATACGTGCTTTGGCATTCGTGCCAGTTGTTTTGTGCGGAAGCCGCTTACAAAATGCACACTGTGGCCCTTGAACTCTGGACTAACAGCAGCCAGCTATGGACTCCACACACTGAGCATGTTAAGTCAAGTTGCCGTTTTGACGGCCAAGCTCGTTGCTGAAGCTTGTGCGCAGGCCACGATGCGCTTTGCCACTAGTTTCTCCTCGGCTGACAAGACGTAGGTATCCAGGGTTCAACCTTAGACTGTCTTACTGGCGAAGTCTCGGCGACGCTGATGGCCTCCTCACCTCCCATGGCCAGCACGCCCTTCCTGGAAGAAGGGCGTGTTTGCTGCAGTTGGGTGACTAGCTTCGGGTCTGGACAGGCCTTTGCATCAGACACCTTCTGCACTCCCGGTCCCCTTGTTGGAACAGCACATCGAGCCATCGTGCAACGGCAGCTGTCCAGTAGGCAGGCTCAGCGGGGGGCTCAGGAAGGTCGTAGATGATCATGGGCAGATCATAGCTATGAGCTCTCCTTGGCTCCATCCCAATAGATCACGAAAGTGCTGGCCACATTGCCACTCTCATTGGCCGAGGCTCGTCACCACCTCCTCCACCTCCGAGAAAGGTGCCTCGATAGCTGGCAACGGTACAAAACGCACTGAGCCTAGGCAGCCCAAGAAGCAACGGACGAACACACGGTGTGCTCAACTGCTTTGAGGGTTGCAGCAGTTTTCAGTGCAACGCGCCATTCAGGGTCAAAGTTGACCTTGCCCTCCCACCAATAGTAGCTCTTGACCTCCTCTGTCGTGGCCTCACATTCACGACACCATGCAAGAACGCCTGAAACGGCCCGGAACAGGTTGAAATCCCGCCTCAGCTTCTAAGACCCTGCTCGCTTCCACAATCTTGGCGGCTTTGTCTGCGGCGTCCTCGAATGGCATGTTCAGCTGCCTACAGGACTTCCGGCCGCGACCTCGCCTCCGTAGTAAGCACCGTGATTGGGGTCGATGCCTGGGATATCTGCTCGAACAAGCAAATCAAGTCTACAAGGCGCGGCCAAGTGCTTCTGGCATCACCTCTTCGAATCAGTGCTATAGTGGCAGTATAGCAGTCAGCGGCAGGATTGAGATTGTGTTGTGAAAGCGAGGTGCCATGGCCGCAAAGGGCCGCAGCGCCGCCAGGCTGTGGGGTCGGCTCCAGTGCCACGGAGCGCTCGAGGCCAAAAGGAGCAGGGAGACCCGGCGCATGGCTCTGCAAAGCTTGAGCAACGCAGCCGCGACGGCTCGAAAAAGCAGAGCCCCAAGGCCCCAGAGACCCAAAGAGCTTCGCTCAGCCTTCGGTCCTGGGAGTCCGGCGAAGGTGCTTCGGCCCGGTGGTCTGAGTGCGCTCTGGCGGCAGGCCCTAGCCAAGGGATGTGTCACTCGAGTCGCCGTCTACTGGTAGCACTTGGTGGCCCGTGGCTTGGGACTTGGGCCTTGTTTCTCTCCCGGATCTGGAGCATCTCGAGCTTGTTGTCGACCTTCCGTAGCCATGATCAAGATTGGATCCGCGCCACTCTGGAAGCTCAGCTCGGTTCGTCCAGCTCGAGCCCCAGTCTGCCCGACCTTGACAGCGGGGGTGCTACAGGACTGGACCGAGCACGCCACCTGTCTCAGTGCCCCGCCCGCTGAAGCCCCAAGCATAGACCACCGGCCTGGGCTGCGCAGGCTGCTGCACGGATCCGATTGGGCATCCCACACATTCAGTGCTTTGCTCTGCACTTTATAGCTGATAGCACATGTTCGCGAGTTTGCCGGGTTTTGTGAAGGATTTCTGTGCAAATACACCGGGGTACCTCTTTTGCTCCACGCGCAATGGCTCATTCGTGCCACCACACGCAGTCTAAGCCCGCATGCTCTCGGCCCTCGATCCAGTTACTTATTACAGTTTCTCATAGGCTGATATAGAAAACTCGCTACGGTGAGGCAAACTAATTATTGATTGCACCAAGCCCGCAGGTGACTCGCTGCTGAGTCCCCAAGCGATCGAATCAACCACTACTGGATTCGCAAGATCAGATGCTCCCCGGAATCTGTGGAGACGATGTCTGAGAGCTCCCCAACCTGGAGCGCGAACGAAGCTTCCTGCGGAAAGCTGGTTAGGAAAAGTTCTTTAAGTGTGAGGGGATTCAGGAGCCATGGATCAACGGATTCCAGGGCCTTTCCAACTACGAGTATGGGAATCTAGCCATATATATATATATATATATACATCACCCGGAAACACGGCTGCGGAGTAGGACGGTAAGACATACCACAAAACAAAAACGAGCATGATGGCACATGGTGTTCTGCATCTTGCAGGACTTGCCAAATTCTGCTGGAAGACTGGCACTCCTATAATGTGCATCAACCCGAGCGCATGTTTTGCTGAAATTCTGGCTCGGTCACGGTCACGATTCTTGCCTTGCCGGCGGTTGGCGGCTCAATTTGCCTCCACCGCAGCCCTGAGACAACTGACCGGCCCAAGCTATGTTTGTGTCAACATCCCGGGTGTGGGTGTGACTGTGGCTGTGTGTGCGAGCATGTGTGTGTGTGTGTGTGTGTCTAGAGGGCCATTGGTCGCAGATTCTGTTCAACTGGGCCTGTTCGTCTGTCTTTGAATTCCAGGGCTGGCGGCATTCGAGCGATGCTTTGTGGTGACACGTCAACCCACAAACAGCCGCATTAGTCATGAGCATCGGCTACAGCTGTTGTGCTAGGCCAGCCCCCGCCTTTCCGCCAGTTCAACCCTGCCTAGCGGCTCCTGTGGGTCGGGTGAAACGGAGGCTCGACGATTGAGACGTGAAACATGCCAAGCAAACGGGCGAGGAAAGCCTGATGAAAAGAAATGGCCTCGTGTTTCCTTACAGCCTAGGCCCTGAAAGCTGTGAACGTGTTCCTCCAAGCCCTCCTCGCTGCATTTCAGCTCAGCCCGTGTAGTCTTTAAGCTGCTTGGTAAGTGAAGCGATCTCCTCTCGCTGCATGTCCAGCTCACGTTCCAAATCCGCGGCCTTGGAGGTCTGGATGCTCTGGCCCATGTTTGCGAGCTCCTGAGCTTGCCTCTCGTGCTTCAGGTTGTTGATCTCCCTCCGTAGGTCATTGATCTCTCGGATGAGCGAGACGTTCTCCTGCATTATTCGCATGTTGTCGATGCGGTGGGCCTGGCTGTCTTTCTCCAGCTTTCGTTTCAGCGAATCGACAGACTTCTCGAGGTAGTCGCGCTGCCTGTTGTACTCCTTCTGCATGTCTGTGTCGAGATCTTGTCGCTTTGCCCCGCCCTGGACATATTTCCTGTAGAGGGCGGTGACACTCTCTTTCAAGGCTTTGGGCTCAGAGATGGTCTCAAGGCAGTCACTCAAGTCCAGCTTGAAGCGCTTGATGAGCGACAGATCGTCCCGCAGCTTTCTCTTCTGCGCTTTGATCTCCTCCTGCAGCGCGCGCTGCTTCATCTGAAGCTGCGAGATTTGAAGTGCAAGCTGCTTGTTCTTGCGCTTGTAGTCATTCAGCTCATCTTCCATGGCCTGCGTCTGCGTCTTCATGGAAGCGATGTCTGCGGTCTTGGGGTCGATCTGGGCTTTCAGCTCTCGGATCTTGTAGTCCAAAACGAAGCGGAATTTCTCCAACTCCTGATTCTGCTTCTTTAGATCGAAGATTCGCTGCTCTTTGTCGTGGATGGTCTTGTCACGCTCTTTGATCTCCTTTTCGTTGGAGTCCTTGTCCTTCACAAGGCCCAGGATCTTCTCTTCGGCCTTCTTGCTCTCATCCGCCTTCTTCTGGACCTCATCCTGCTTCTTCATCATATCTGTGTTCAAGTCGTGGTGGTGCTTCTGATGGATCCCAGCTTGCCCGCGCAGTCGCACCTTGTCGTCCTTCTCCTGCGCCAGCTTCTGCTCATACATTTCCTTGAGTTCCTCGATTTCACGATCTGCATCGCGCTCCAATTGTGCTAGCGTTTCCTGGTGGTGCTTGAAAGCCACTTCCTTCTCTTTGATAATTCGGTCCATGGTGTCCCGATTTGACCTCTGGATCTTCTCGGCATCCTGTTTTATCTGCTCGATGACTTGAGCATGTTCCGCCAGGAGGGCGGCATGCTGCGTCGCCCATTCCTGCTTTTCCCGTTCAAGGTCTTTCTCGAGCTTCTTGTAGCGCTGGTCCTCCACAATCATCTTTTGGTCGAAGGACTCTTGCTGCTCTTGCAGGTCTCTGGCATGCTTCTCTTCCTCGTCCTTGATCTTCTCTTCATTCTCCATCTCTGCCTCCGCCTTCTCTTCTCGAAGCACTTCGAACTTTCGGCGCTCTGTTTCGATTTCCTCACCGTACTTCTCCTGCATCTCAGCCATCTTCTCTTTGTGAAGTCCATCGCGTGTCCGCAGTTGGTACTCCATGCGGCCCTTGAGCTCTTCAACCTTGCGCTCCAGGTCCAACAGAACCGCCTGCTTTTCTTCAAGAAACTGGCTTGTCACGAGAATCTCGTCGGCATAGCCCAGGCCAAGGCTGGAATCCTTCTCCTGCTTGCCACCAAGCTTCTTGAGATCGAAGATGCACAGGCAGCCGTCATCCCCGGTGCTGAAGAGGTAAAGTTCATCCCAGGCGATGCGAATCCGAGATACCGGAGCGGAATGGGCCTGGTACTCAACGTAGTCTCCTGTAAGTGGGAACTTGTAGCAGCGCAGGGAGCCAGGCATGTCAGGCTCTGCCACGCCGGCAACTAAAGCTTTGGCAGCGGGTGCAAGAGCTAGCTGTCCAAGAACGGCATTGGACTCCACGTAGTTGGTCAGCTGCGAGTCCTGGACCTCCTTGAGCATTTTGTCCGACCCTGCCACGTAGATCGTGGTGCTCTGAGCAGTTGCTTCAGGATTGCTGTAGGCGATGATGCTGGTAAAGCTGGTTCCTTTCTGCGACCAATCTTGCTTCCTGTTCGTTGATTCTTTCAAAATATCGAACTCAAAGGTTGCACCATCCTGCCCTGTCGAGACCAAGCGGAAGTCGTCCACAGTCCAGCATATTGCCTTGACCTTACTCTGGTGACCCCGCAAATTCAGAACCAACTCGCAAGTGTAGGTCTTGTAGACCTGGATGGTGTTGGAGTTCACTGCCGCAAAGAACTGCCCTCCGTGGCTAAAGCGACACTCTCGACAAGCCTTGATTGGGATCTCCTTGTACGTCCTGAAATCCTCCATCAAGAGGTTCATGAGACGCACTTTATCCGCAAAGCCCACGATAAGGTGGAAGCCACTGGGATGAAAGGCAACCGAGAATGCTTCCTCGTTGAATACCTTGCACAGCTCCTGCGTCTTGTCCACATAGTTCCAAATACGCACGGACTTGTCGGTTCCGCACGTCACTGCTAGAGGCTTCCGCACGCACACATCCAGGCCGAAAATCGGCCCAGAGTGGAAGGACGTCAGTGCATGTTCCACAGTGCTATCCTCTGCCTTGAGCATGTCCGTTGGGCTGAGAGAGAAAGTCAGCAGCTGGTTCGTGGATGTGGCAATGGCCACCGTCTCCTCGGAAGGACTCACGGCCATCGCTGTGACTGCGCCGACTGCCAGCGATCCCAGCGCGGTGGCAGAGTCGAGCTTCACCTCCTTGGCTTTGCGAAACATCTCCTTGGCGTCGTCACTTCGCTCGTAAAAGGTGACGGTACCCTTTTCGCCTCCTGCGATGAAGCCTCGGCTGAAGGAGGCCACGCAAAGAAGAGACCGAGGCTCCGCCGGCGAGCTGGGAAGGACCATCTTGAATTCCCCGCCACTGTCAAAGAGCAAGGCATCGCCAGCTTCACTACAGACGATGAGGCGGTCATCATTCAGCCAGGTGTGGCACATGTAGTTCTGATTAAATGCCTCTCTCATCTTCGAAAGCTGGTTGGGAATTCCTTTGAAGGTACCGTCTTGAAGTCGGAAGAATTTAAAGACACCATCACCGATGACACAAACGAGCGACGAGTCCTGGGGGTTGAAGGAGCACTCATGGATCATAGAGCCTGTCAGGTTGGAAACCTTCACGGCACCATGGGCTTTGGCCTTGTCCCAAGACCAGAGAATCAGAGTCCAGTCCGGAGGCCCACCCTGTGTGATAAGAAACTTGTTCTCTGCGGAGAAAGCTGCACAAACGAATTCCCTTGCGTCGCAGTCTGCATATGACAGCTGGCCGCGCCTGCGCTTGCCGGTCGTGACGTCGTAGATGTAGCAGATGGCCCTCTCCTGAAACTTCTCGCAGGCCACCAAGAACTTCCGGTTGGGGCTCAGTGCCAAAGCCGTAATGCCTTCCGATCCCTCGGAACCTGGAAAGACTCTGATTTGCGTCTTGTGATCCGAATGGTACAAGATCGTGTTGTGCCCGGCCGGATACAGCAAGTGCGCATCGTCTGTGAAATGCATGTTGCCTTTCACACCACTTCGGAAGCCGAAGACGTGCCGGTGGACAAGCTGAACTCCGGAAGGTTCCTCATCCGTTTTGTCCTTGTCCTTGTCTCCCTTGTCCATCTTGCCTTCTGCCATGGCTGGCGTTCGCCCCGGGACCTACGTTTTGCAGGTTCCAGGGGGCCTTCGTCCTTAAGCCGAAATCAAAAAACCACAGATGCAGGGTTTCAGCAGAACAGCTCGTAATGTTTAGGACACTTGCGATTGCTGACGCTCTGACTACTTCGAGTTTGTCATGTCCTCGAAAGCCT